TGGTGATCATCGATAGTAGCAGCTTTGAGAATGTGGTATCTTTGGAGATGGTGCAGAAGCTAAAGTTGGACACAATCCCTCATCCACATCCTTACCAATTATCTTGGCTGCAAAAAGGAAATGACATCAAGGTAACTAAAAGATGTTTAGTTTTGTTTTCTATTGGCAAGTATTATAAAGATGAAATATGGTGCGATGTTGCTCCTATGGACGCTTGTCATTTGCTATTGGGTAGACCTTGGTATTATGATAGAATGGTGTTGTATGATAGCTACAAATATACTTATTCTTTTAAAATAAATGAAAAGAAGATTGTTTTAGCTCCATTACAACCTTCTGAAATCAGTGTACCAAAGAAGGAAGTTAGCGCTTTTATGTCCTATGGTGAATGCAAAGGTGAATTAGACGGGTGGTTATGTTTTGGCTCTAGTGGTATGAACAACACAAGGAGACACTAGTAATCATGAAACCAATCCTGGAGGAGTTTCAAGATGTTGTACTAGAAGAGATTTCATATGACCTTCCACCTTTAAGAGACATCCAGCATCATATTGATTTTATTTTGGGAGCTATTCTACCTAATAAGGTAACCTACAGAATAAGTCTCAAAAAGCATGAAGAACTTCAAAGGCAAGTGGATGAATTGGTGAAAAAAGGATTAATTCGGGAGAGCATGAGTCCTTGTGTGGTTCTAGCCTTGTTGGTTCCTAAGAATGATGGTTCTTGGAGAATGTGTGTGGATAACCACACCATCAACAAAATCACAATGGATTATCGTTTTTCCATTCCAAGATTAGATGATTTACTTGATCAATTGTGTGGTGCTTCTATTTGCTCTAAAATTGATTTAAGGAGTGGCTATCACCAAATAAGAATGAGGCTTGAAGATGAGTGGAAAACCAGCATTTAAAACTAGAGAAGGCTTATATGAATGGTTGGTTATGTCATTTGGGCTATCTAATGCTCCTAGCACTTTTATGAGATTTATGAATCACATACTTAAACCTTGCATTGAGACTTTTATTGTGGTTTACTTTGACGATATATTGGTGTACAACAAGAGCGAAGAGGAGCATATGAATCATCTTAAAGAGATATTTTTTATTTTGAGACAACAAAAGCTTTATGCTAATCTGAAAATGTATGATTTTTTTACTCATAGTGTGGTGTTTTTAGAGTACGTTGTTTCGAAAAATGGAATCATGATGGATCAAAGCAAGGTAGAAGCTTAACTTCTTTTTACAGAAGATTCATCAAGGGTTTTAGCTCTATTATCCCTCCAATCACCGAATGTCTGAAATGTGATAAATTCAAATAGACTAGTGAGATTAATGATACTTTTGAGCTTTTAAAAAGAAAAGTGACCGAAGCTCCTATCTTAGTACTACCTAATTTTGACAAGGTGTTTGAAGTTGAATGTGATGCATCTAATGTGAGAATTGGTGCCGTTTTGAGTCAAGACGGAAAGCCTATTGCTTTTTTTAGCAAGAAGCTGAATGATGCAAGAAGGAAATATTCTACCTATGACAAGGAGTTTTATGTCATTTATCGAGCTTTATCTCATTGGAGTCAGTATCTTCTTACCAAGTCATTTGTCTTATATTTTGATCATGAGGTATTAAAGTTCATTAATCACCAGCATAAGCTAAACAAGAGGCATGCAACTTGGGTAGAGTTCTTGCAATCTTATAATTTTACAATCAATCACAAATCTGGTGTTCAAAATGTAGTTGCTAATGCATTGAGTAGAAAACATTCTTTATTATAAGCGATGAAAGTTAAAGTGGTTGGATATGAGATATTCAAATATCTCTATGAGAATGATATGGATTTCGGCTCAATATAGCAGAATTGCAAATTAGGTTCCTTTCAACAATTTTCTATGTTTGATGGTTTTCTTTTTCGAGCAAATGCATTGTGTGTTCCATCTTGTTCTTTGAGACAAGTAATTCTAGCTAAAGCTCATGGTGGTATTTTGGTAGTATATTTCGGTAGGGACAAGACTCGTTCAATCAAATTTCTATTGGCCTAAGATGTTCAGAGATATGGAGAGACATGTAAAGCAATGTCGAGTGTGTTATTTGGCAAAAACAAGAAGTCAAAATTCGGGCTTATACACTCCATTACTAGTACCAAATGCTCCATGGGAGGATATGAGTCTTGATTTCGTTTTGGGACCGCCAAGAACTCAAAGGAACAAAGATTCTATCATGGTTGTTGTTGACAGATTTTCAAAAATGTCTCACTTTGTTCCCTACAATAAATCAAATGATGCATCTCATATTGCTAATTTGTATTTTAAGGAAATTATTAAATTGTATGGTATTCCAAGAACTATGGTGTCTAATCGAGACTCTAAATTTTTTAGTCATTTTTGGAGAACTCTTTGGATGAAGCTGGGTACTTCTTTGAATTTCAGTAGCTCGCATCATCCATAAATCGATGGACAAACTGAGGTAACGAACAAAAGCTTAGGAAACTTAAAAGCTATGTTGGCAAGAACATTAAGCAATGGGATCTCATTCTTCCACAAATTGAGTTTGCCTGCAATCGTTCCATACATCATAGCATTGGTAAGAGTCCTTTTGAGGTTATTTATGGTGCTAATTCTACTGGTCCTTTGGACTTGGTCCCTCATTCGATAACTAAGCAATTTAGTGGAGATGCTGATAAGAGAGTTAAGCAAATAAAGAAGCTGCATGAGGGTATTAAAGCAACCAAAGAAAAGCAAAATGAGAGGTACATGCAAGCTGTCAACAAACACAAAAAACATGTGGAGTTTAATACAAGTGATTTAGTCTGGATTCATCTAAGGAGGGAGAGATTTCCACCGGGCAAATTTGAAAAATTGAAACCAAAACTGATGGTCCATTCAAGGTGCTTAAGAGAATTGGCAAAACTACTTATGAGATCGAGCTACCTGAATATTACAGAGTGTCCCCAACATTTAATGTCGTTGATTTAAGTCCTTTTCATATCATGTTGACGAAACAAACAAGGACTTGAGGACAAGTCTTTTTCAACTAGGGGAGATTGACACGAGAGTGCTTAATTTGCTACAATCTGCTCATATGGACCTTGATGATGCTATGGTATATTTTTCAGCCCACAATGTTGCCTCATAGTTTTCAACTCAGCCCACTAAAATATGACAGCTCATGAGCACATTCTTTGGATAAAGTTGCGCGGGTAGTTTCCTTACTGGGTGTTTACTGACTTTGTAGGGCAGTTGACTGACTTGCTTGTTAGGGTGGTTTACTGACTTTTACTGGGCTCGGGTAGTTTACTTACTAGTTTGGGTGGTTTCATTCCAATTGACCAGCCGAAGCAAGGACCGTGGCAGATGGTGCTCGACTTGTAGCTGTTGCCTTTTATCTTGCATCTCCTGCCGGCCTAGCAGCAGTAGTTGTCTTGCCTTCTTGAAGAAGCCGGAGCAAACAGCTAGGTATTCTCGAGTATGACATTCTTATCAACTGCATGAAAGTACCATTCACACAAAAAGAAAGAGACTGAAGGCTCTATTAGACAGAAAGAAGGAGAACCCTCCATACTAAAAGCACTTTTCAGGAGGGGCTTTCTTTTCACCGGAAATCTTGTCCTTCAGAGTTTCCTCTATTGTCCTGAAGGCTTATACTTCCTGCTCACTGGAAGGGCATCAGTTTGGCCGTGACTCATTCCCTGTGCATGGGGAGGGGTCATTGGGATTCCTTCTTCGTAAGAGGTCTCGCTGCAAGCACTGTTTATATTCCCGTTCTAATGAAACATAAGCTTCAACATGGAAAATATGAGAAGAATGTGCAAATAATAGGAATCAGGAGGATTTGTTCTTCTCACTCGCTTTATAAGGGGCGGATTGAACTTCCATAAACTTGATCATCCTTACCTAATTAATCTGAGATATGTTGAATTAATCTGAGATATGTTGAAGGCTAAAGGTAACCAGGTACTAGGGAAGCCGATGGAGGATATTCTGATCAGGGTCTGCCGTACCGAGCCGTACCGCCCGGTACGGGCGGTACGTACCGGTCCGATAGGTTTTCGGTACGCGGACCGACTGTTACCGGTCCGAGGCACTGTAGCACTGTAGCAGTATTGCTGTAGCACTGTAGCAGTGCTACAGTCTCGGTACATCCAGGTGTACCGCTCGGTATATCGTACCGTACCGGTATCGAGCCCAGATCGAAATACCGGTACGGTACGGTATTGCGAACCTTGATTCTGACCCATCTACTATCTGGGGGGGAAGTCTCTGAATCTCCCAGGATATCGAGCCTCCTTGTTGTGCTTGAAAGCTCCCCTAGGGCTTCGAGAGGTGTCTTGGCAGTCCGAGATCGAGTAATCCTTCCTCTTGTTTGGGGCCATTCTTTTCCTTGGGTGAAATTTCAATGTGCTTTTCTTTATGACCAAGGAATGCATTAAAGAAGTTAGTTACCAGTTGTAAAACACTTAATTTTGAAATTTCCTATGCATGAAGGGTTGTTTCATGCACTAGCACTTATTTTGGTGTTTAGGGGTTAGAAAGAACTTTAGAAACTGATGATATTGGCAGAAGCTCTCTTGGAGTACTCTCTTAAACTCTGTATCTCTTAGATACGTCTTTGAGTGGTGAGTATTTTGTTTATAGTTTTGTATCCTTGTTTATTATCATTGGGGTGGTGATCTTTCTGTATCCCTTTGTGATTTTAAACTTAGTGATGGGCTTTCTTTTCGATCTTATTAAAGTTTTATTGTGAGTTCGTTCCTTTTCTACTATCGGCTTTCTTCGGAAATCCATTCTGCATTACCCCCCGGTATCACTGATACATTATGCCTTGTTTGCAACTATCGATGAAGTTAGCAACTTATTTTCAACCCATCCTTCAATTTCTAAAAGTGATGCTAATTTCTTACGCTTATTTTGATTGTTCCTTTTCAGTTTTCTTTTCTTGAGATCCTTCTGTCTGTTGTTGTTTTCTGTAACAAGTAATGAAAATGTTTAATTCGTTAACAACCTTATGCAGAATTTTCAAGCAACTCTCAGCCAGAGACAGAGATTTGTATTGATTCATAAATGTCAGAAGAGAGTGAATTCTGTCCCATTTGTCATCAGTTCAATGTTGAAGAAGGTAAAGTCTGATTTGAGTAATGGTGACTCTGGTACAACTGAACCTGATATTCTGTTGGAGAAATTATTTGAAAAGACGCAGAAATTAGAAATGATGAGTAGCGATTCTCATCTTTCTGAGGATGCTGAACAAGGTCTGAACCTTGAAATATCGGAGACTGATGTTGAAGCTGCATTTTCAACTTTATGGAAGAAGGAAGAAGACCTCAAGAATGCTGAGCGGAGAGTTGCAAAAGTTGGATCAGACAAAGCAAGACTTGGAGTGGTGGGAAAAAGACTTTGCTGCTACATTTGCGAAGCAAAAACAAATGGAGAAAGAACTAAATAAAGCTCATGATGATCTCATTTTTCAGTTCAGGCAGATCGAGGAACTGTAGGTTGTCGTTGAAGAGCAAGGCAATGAAATTGCTAGATCAGTCTTTTACTTTTCCAAAAGGAGCATGAACTGGGTGAACTCCAAAAAGAGGTAATAAAAAAGGATGAAGAAGCCAGGCTGCTGAGATCAGAACTTGAGTTTAGAGATCAGATCATATGCGAGGCCAATTCACTAATTAAAGATCAAGAGACAAAGATTAAAGATTATCAGAAAGATGTTGAGGAAAAAGAACAAGATTTATCTAATTAGCAAAGAAGACTTGAATTGAGAAAAACTGAACGAGAGAGGCTAGAAGGTATGGAGGCTGAGCTTGAAAAGAAGACTTTAGAATGGTCATTAGCAAAGAATGAGTTAAGGAAACTGAGAGGCTGCACCAAAGGACATAAGTGATATGAAAGAGGCTTCAGGAGACTACATAAGAATAAGATCACTTCTTGCTGCTGTAAGGTCTGAACTGGTCTATTCACAGGAATCTCTTTCTTTATCTCGAAAAGAGATGACAGATGAAACACTTCAATTTGAAAGACAAGCAGCAGAACTCAGTGAACAAAAACTTTTACTGGAGTCGTAGTCTGAAAATTTGAAAATTGCTTATTTGGAAGTTAAGAGTTAAAGAAACAAGTTGAGAACTGCATATGTTCAGTGTGAAGAACTTGAAACACACTTATCAGTTAGTAGGAAAGCGACAGAACGTCTAGAAGAGAGATTAACAAGAGAGAGAGCTTTACTAGAACAGAAAACACAAGAGATAGTATTACTTCAAAATGAGATTGGACAGAAAGAACAGGAGTATAGTGATGCTCGCAAACTTCTTCAGGTAAAGGAGTCTGAACTTGTAGAAGCCAGACTTCAAATTCAGCACATGAAATCTGAGATGGCCTCTCTTCAGCTTATTTTGCAAGAAAAAGATGCTGAGCTCATTGAATCTGGGAGAAAATTGGTGGAGGTTAACCATGACATATTGGAGCTACAAAGACTAACAAACAGCAAAGAGGAGCAGCTTATCCAAACTACCATAAAGCTGCAGGAGAAGGAAGAACATATCCAGACAATGAAGCATGAGTTGGGTGATGCAAAATTGAAGTTTTCTGAAGCTACATCTATTATAGAAGGAATAGTTCAATTGACTAACAATCTTGTTGGTTCTGTCAAAAATGGAAAAATGGGCACAACACTAGTTTCAGGAATCATAGTCTGGAAACTGAGCTTGAGGTAGTGAAGGAATCTCTGATGAAAAAGGAGATAGAACTTCTTGCTTCTCAGAGAGCTCTGGTTGTCAAAGAAGAAAAGTTTAGATAAGTTCTTAGAAGGCTGGAAATAACGGAAAAGGAAATGGAGAACATGAAAAAGTTGATGGAAGATGCCAGTGGCCTGGTGGAAGGTTATGCCTTGCCCAGGAGAGAAATGGGGATCCAAGTCTGGGGGCATTGCCGATTGAAAAGCTTCAGCTCAAGGCAGTCATGTTAGAAGCTGAAGCCACAACATCTGCTCTGCAAAAGCTTGCAGATATGACCCATGAGCTCATGAAAGAAACAGAGAGAGTTATGAACTTGGGCTTTGATGCTCCTACACAATTAACAGGTGCAGAGCAAATGTTTGACAACTCTGCTATGAGTTCCAACAGGAGAATAGAGGGTCTCAACGAGGCTAAGAAAGAAGTGGTCAGCCTTTTTGCTTTGACAGAGAAACTAGTTACGGAGGCTGGAATGTCTCATGCAGATCTGCAGCCGTGATCCAAGTACTATTCTATGAACATCTTGAGTAATTGCTATCTGCTTCACGAATGCGACCTTTCGAAAACTTTCTGATCTTACCAGCAGTTTTGTACATCAAATGATACTTTTTTTTTGTTAACACATGATGTATCATTAGTCAAAAATGAACTAACATCAAGTATTTCTTAGGCATATACATCTGAAAATGCAAGTCCTAGATAAAGAAGATAATTCTCAAAGGAAGATAACCTTTGTGTGTAATTGAGGGTATGAATATGACATTGTTTTGCCGTACTCCAAAGATT